ATGGCTTTGTACAGGAAAAAAAACCACATAAATAACAGATCCATCTGGGTAATTGTTTTCCTGCCACAATTCACAAGCATTGCACATACATACATGATTAGACTGGGAAAACAGAACTGCGTTCCTGAAGCTGACATAATTTAGTTTACAAGTGTTTTGGACTCCTTCAGTCCAAGGTTTGTGGACTTTATTTCAGGCCACAGGTATGAGATAACTTTTCAGCCATATCCACAGTTAATTTTTTTGGGAGGTGATTAGTATATAAATATGCTACCTCATAGTACCAAGGGGTAAAATGTCCAGTAATCCCAGCATCAGCCTTCTCTATTTCTCAGCTGGTGCCCAGTGCTGTAACAGTGTATGTTAATGAAACCTTAAAGAGATCATTTTCATTACAAAATATGTTTTTTAAAAAGCATTCAAATTATATGTGTAATAAAAACTCCCACATCAGGCGGGAACAGATATCTACTAACTTTCATTGATGATTATTCCAGGTACACAACAGTTTATCTGATAAAGCACATGAATGAAACATCAGAAACACTTCAAGAGTTTGTAGCCATGTCCAGCAACAAATTACAATGGAAACCAGGAATTATACGCACCAACAATGGAGGGGAATACATCAGTAAGGAAGTAGAATCCTACCTGAAGAAACAAGGTATAGTACACCAGACTACCACACCATACACCCCTGAACAAAATGGTGTAGCAGAACGGAAAAATTGCACTCTTATAGAAATGGTCAGATGCATGCTGTCAGACTCCAACCTACCTAAGAAGTATTGGGGAGGAGCAGTCATGACTGCAACATACCTACAGAAGAGACTACCATCAAAAGCTGTTGAAAGCACTAGATTTAAAATGTGGCATGGATCGAAGCCTAGCCTAAGTCACATTAGAGTGTTTGGATGTAAAACTATATATTCCAAATGTGAAGCAATCCAAATTGTAAATCACAGTCATTGAAGGTATTTTGATTGGCTATAGTGAACAAAGTAAGGGATATAGAATACTCCACCCAAAGACTGAAAAAGTGACAAATAGTTGCAGCGTTTACTTTGATCCCAGGAAGTTGTGAAGTGAATTTCCCCAACCTTTTTTTGGGGGGGGGAAGTGCGTCTTATGGAGTGAAAAATACGGTATATTAGGTAGTAAAATTGAACCAACAACCAACCTGCTCCCACTATGGCAACTACTTTTACTTAAAATATGTTGGAAAGTTGTTTGTATATGGTTATGGGTCTGATATATTGAGTCAAACTTAGTGTGGACTATGAACTAAACAAAACTTATGTTTAGAAACTATATTCATATGCAGGAGTTGAGCATGTTTTTTTGTGGGATCCCTGTAGTTGCCACAGTGGGAACAGATTGTTGGTTCAGTTTTGCTTCAAGCAACACTAGGGGTCAACTGAGAAACTGTTTTGAATGTATTGATATTTAATCAATTTGTACTATAATATACCAATCAATCAATTCTGTCCATAAGTTCCCAGTTTTCTTTTTATCTTAGGTAGTAATAGATGCAAAAAAAATTTAAATAAAATATTAAAACTCTTTAAATTCTGTTACTGTGTTGAGATCTGCGGAGAAAAAAAGGGATCTATCTACACAGACTGAAGACTGTTAAAGTGGATCTTTGCCCCATTTGGCTAAAAATCACATCAGCATGCAACTTTTCATGCTAATATGAAATCATCTTACATTAATTAGTTAAAAATATTTTTGTTTTACTTACAATGTCTTGTTTTCTACTTCCTGGTTCTCTTTGGCAAAAGTGGTGTAAGTGTTGCATCCTGGCAAAATAAAAATCAGCAGAGCATTGCTAGGAAATCTCATCTGTAATCTCACAAGATCTCAGGGAAAGGCATTTTCCTTTCCTGAAATGATGTGCATGATTACATGTCCTAGTCACATGTGCCAGAGTTCCAGGAAGTAAAGAGAGATGGATTTCATCTGCTCTTAGTAAAAATGGCCACTGTGAGAAGAATGGAGAGGAAAAGAAAAGTAAGGTATGCAAAGAATAGAAATCCGGCAATTATCTATCATTATTTGTTTGTAGATTGCCATTACTAAACATTTCTAAAGGTGCCTTTGTTGTCATTTTGAAGATAAGGGTAAAGTGGCAACTACCTAGAGTAGTTTTATACTTATGTATTGAAATATTTTGTGCTTTTCTATTGTAATTTATTTAAATCACATTGTAGAGAATTGTATTTACTTCGACATTAGAGCAAAATGTAATGCCCCCCCTCCCCATTTCACTTAAATTGCTATACTTGCCTAGCTCTCGATCTGCGGTCCGCATTTCTTTTCCAGGTCTTGATCCAACTACAACGCCTGCGCATTTCAGCCCCATAGGCTTCTATGAGACTAGTAGACGGACAGGAGCCAATCGGTCTACCAGCCCCACAGAAGCTTATGGGGCCGAACTGTGTAGGTGCAGATGCCCAATCAAGAGCCTGGCAGAAGAATGTAAACAATGCTATAACCTAAGAAAGGATAGAGGTTGGGAGGGGATTGTGGATTAGACTTAGGGGGTTGGGAGCAAAATGATGTTGATCAGTGTAGATAACAAAGCAATACAACTACCAAGGCGGTTAATACTTTTTGTAACCTTTCAAATTAGGCACAAAAGTGAAAAGATTTAAAGATTAATAACAGTAATTAATGGTTGTTCATTGTAGGATATAATAACACAAAAGTACCTAAATGTGGTGATCCTCTTCTTGCTTACTGACATCAAGCACACAGCACAATGTCATTAACACATTGTGTAGCAGCTCGGCATCTATACCAGCTGTGAGGCCCAGGGACCACAAAATTATCTGCGCTTCTAGTAGTTACACCATTGGAAGGTTTTTAAAAACTGAATCAACAATCAAACATATCTTTATGCTGGCCATTATCTATTTCACTGGGGTTTAGAAAAAAACATATATAAGTGGCATGTTCTGTTATTTGGGATGAGAAGGGGATGTACGTCATTCCCATGCTACTTCTCTTGCGTCTTGTATTCAACATCAGGTGTTGTAGATCAAGGAGGGTGAAATTCGATTTATGTCAATCAGAATAAATGTCAAGATGGGAAAGGAAAATAGATGCAGATGGAAACTGATGACTAAACAATGACGGTGACTACCTTTTAAAAACAGAATTGTTTTCTCATTGTTTTCTACTCTAGTTTAAACTTTCCATATGAACGACATGTGTGTTGGCATTTCACTCCTCTTACCCTTACTACCCTTTCGGTTCCTGTTTCTGTTTTTTCACTTTCTGTTAAAATGTTCGCAGAGTGGAACATGCCCTTGTTTTTGATGTATACCATTCCTCTCCAGTATTAGGTTATGGGGGCTACCTGTGTGTACCCTTTGGAGAAGTCTGTACTTGCCCTCTTATCTGTACTGATTCCTGGGCAGTTTGTTTCCAAGTTGAATTGCATAATGTATGCCCTAACTCTGTGTTGTTTATAAATAATCATAAAAAAAACAAAAAACAGAACTGTAAGTGCTGCTAAGCTCTTAAAGTAAACCTGTCCTGAGAGACATGTAGGCACTGCCTTCACCAATCCCCTTCTGAAGGTCTTAGTTGCCTGCCTAATACACTGGCAAACTAGGTTCAGTAAGTTTTTTTTTTAAATATTAAACAACTAAATATAAAACAAACTAGCATTTGCAAAATGAGAAGTAAAAATTGCAGCCTTCATGTCTCTCTTATGAAAGGTTTCCTTGAAGCATAATATTAAAGACCTGCACGATCTGCTAGGAAAATTCAACTTTTTCTTGTGTGGGCCTAAACTGGAGTTATAATTCTACCATACTTCTGCTCCTACCAATAAGGTAAACAGGAGAAATGCTATCCCACAAGAAAGACTTCCATCACCACTAACCTGCTCCAAGGACAGGAATCTTACCTAGTGTATGGAAAGATGACTGTGATAAAGGGCATATCAAAGTAATGTTTCATTTAAAAGAACTAATACTAGTGTTTTTCCTCCATTAACTGGCGATAAAAATCTGCCTTCCGTGTAAGTTCTTCCACTACAATGGCTACATGGGAGGCAGATCATGTAGAAGACTGTTTAACTTGTAAAATACATAAAATAGTATCATTAAAAGTGCATTAGTCACTGTGGTTTGATCTTTAAATGGTAACAAAAACCCTACAAACAATAAAAAGTTCTTGAGCAGCATGACACAGGTGAAAAAACGTGCTTGCAATAAAATCATAACATTTAGAAACTCTAAAGAAAAATGCAGTTTGTAGAAAAAAAATGGATGTGATGGATTAACATTTTCAGAGTGCAAAACGTTCATGACACAGAAAGCAAACATCTTAATAAATGATGCACTATAATCGTAAAAGTAAATTTTCAGGGCAAATGCATTATAAAATATACTTTAAAAAAAAGTTTACTAACTTACTGTTTTCAGGATCAAGTGTCTGAAACCAAATGATTTAAAGGAGGTTTCAAGTAACATGTAAAATTTAGTAATTAATGTGCCATAAGAATAACTGATCCCTTTTTGTCTGCTTTATGATTTTGGATGCACTGCTTGGCAGGAAAGCTAATCATATTTCAACCTAATATGACCCTACAGTCCTGCATGGCATATGAGGGTTTCTGCATAGGACCATATTAGCCATTGCAGACTGAGTAACCCAAACTACAGAAGCTGAACAATGAACAAACTGGAGATTTAATCCTCAATTCAGGGAATTCAGCAGTTTTTATTAAATCAAAGAAACAACAAAAGGACATAATCTGACATCCTGTAAGTTATATATAGACTGATTTTCTTCTTAAATTTGCTCTTAAATCTTCTTAAATTTCACACTGTGGGTGGGGCTGGCTTGAGAAGAAAGTGCTAATGCAGTGCAGGGCCCCTTCAGATTCTGCAATCTGCATATTATTTATACTCCAGTAAATTTGTAAATTAAGTAATATTTGTTATTTTGAACAGAAAACAATTTGGTTATAGTACTGTTCTTACCCATCATGTTATACAAGCTCTGTGGTGCAAACTGCCTTGGCATTTTCTGTATTGCTTCTTGATAGACTAAGAGGGCATCCTAGAAAAAAATAAAAATAAAATGTTGCAGTAAAAAGACATACCAGCAGAAAGTAATAAATAATCTAGACAATTTAAACATATTGAATTCAAATTTACTTTTAACAATTCACATTCTAAACCACAGCCTGTGTCTTTAGGACACTA